TACATACAAGTCCAAATTATCATCATCCAATTTATAAATATTCTTTAGTCCACAATAAAGCCAACACAAAATGAATCAAAACAATATTTTCAACCAAAACATAAGTACTATAATGGGACAAAACAACAAGAAACAACTACTCCCAAGTCCAACATGCATGCCTTACCAGAGCTAGACTACTGAGCCTAAGCTTGTTATTTATGAAAATTATCAAGATCAGAACTAAAAAGTCCTTTTGTACTAAAATTACACATTTTTAATAATTTCGGGCTTTGAAAAATACCGTGCTTAAACTGGTAGCCTGACATGCAAGTGTCACTTGCATGCTATGTTCCAATGTGAATTATATTCATTGCCACTCGACGTCAATTAATTACTAAATATCCAACTATATATATGCCGATCTTTAATCTTATTACTGATATGTATATGCTCGTTTAAGCATTGATATTTTCAGTATCCAAACACAATATTGATCAACCATGGTGATTGGCAATGTGTAGTAGAATTTTGATTAAGACATCCACTTGGTTTTTTTTCTTAATAATATTATTGTATCATATAAAACGTTGCCTCGTTCAAATCAGTACACCATTTATTTCCCTATCAATATAAATGGCATGGAAAAGAACTACATACTCTATCACGAGGAGGATTAATTAGCTAGTAAAATTTAAACGCCAACATATTCTTAATGTTACTCAAGCTTATTGTTTCAAAGTCACTATTTCACAAATTGTATTATGATATCAAAGCCAGTGAAATTTCTGTTTCATTGTTTTCCCTCTGCTTTATTTCATGCTTCTAGAATCTTATAGCACTCGAACCCATCATTCCACCTTCCACCATTATGACTACTCTAGATGCTTTTATACCTATTAATAAAAACGCTCAATCTTTATCTTCTTCTACTTCTCTGCCGTTCACTCAAGATCAATACAATAAGTTTCTTGTTCTTATGCAAACCCTTGCGCTTGCTACTTCATCAACTCCTTCAGCACAAGTTAATCTTGTGACTACATCTCCTTCCACTCCTTTCAGTGCGTCTTAATACCAGGTATATCTCATATACTTTTCTCTAAATACCTTTCATCTGCTTGGATCATTGATTGTGGCACAATTGATCATATATATTCTTCTATTAATCGTTTCTCTGAGTTAATATCTATTGCTCCTATTTCGATTCAGTTACCTAATGATTCTATTGTTCAAGTTCATCATTCTGGAACTATTTATCTTTCCTTTGATTTTTGTCTTAATAATGTTTTGTTTATTTCTCAAATTAACTATTATTTGATTTCTGTTTCTAAACTTAGTTTCCACCTTCACTATTTCTTAATCCTCAATACCACTCATTATTTCATTCAAGCCCTAGACTCTTAGAAGATGATTGGAATAACTAAGGTTCATAATGGTCTCTATGTTCTTCAAGATCATGCAAGTTGGTTCTCACATTCTTCAGTTTCTCCTATTACTTTACATTCTAAATCTGTACCTTCTTCTTACTTGTGGCATCTTAGACTAAGACATGCCTCCCCTGTTGTTATTAGTTTTCTAGGTCAAAAATCATCTTCAATCACTTGTAAACCTACTTTAAATAAAAGTTATGATGTTTGTTTTTTTGCCAAACAAAAAAAATTATCATTTCCTATTAATGTTTCTCACACTACTCATCCTTTTAAAATTTTACATGTTGATATTGGGGATTCATTTAATACTGCTTCTATTCATGGCAATTATTATTTTCTAATTGTTGTCGATGATTACTCTCGCTTTACTTAGATCATTTTGATAAAATTAAAATCTAAAACTAGAACTCATTTGGAGTGCCTCATTTTATTTATAGAAAATTAATTTTCTTTTGCTATAAAAATCGTTCACTCAAACAATGGTCTTGAATTCTTCTTGCATTCTTTCTTTGATTTAAAAGGTATTTTTCATCAAATAACTTGTGTTAAAATGCCTAACCAAAATAGTATTGTGGAACTTAAATACTAGTTTTTTTCACAAATTGTATTATATCAAAGAATATATATATAGATATAGATATATATTGAGAAAATCAATCAAAGTCCTAGGAATTAGATGCACGTGATGTTTATGCAAAGCAGCGAAAAATGTCTTTTCTTATTTAGGGACCTTGTACATGCAGATGACACAGGATAAAGCACCTGAGCGTTTTGTGGCTTTCTAATGCCCAACATTAATTAGTTATATTGTCGAACCAATTTAATATCTGGAACTTCTAAATGATTTTGAATTTATTTGGATTGGATGGTAATATTTGGAAGGCTTTGACATTCTGTGAGTTTTATTTTGGTTGAAAATATATACATACATATGCATATATACATATGTATTTATATATACATGTATACGGGGACGTACGTAAGGGGAGGGGGTTCTTGCGGCCCCACAATTTCATTGGTCACTTGTAATTTTTTAGAAATCTTTTTACCTTACTTATAAAAATGTAAAAATTAGTGTTGGCCCCATGTTTTAAGAAGTTTTCAATTTTTGCCCTTGTATATGGTGGTTTATTTCGTCCCATTGTAACTTGAAGCAACTAATCTCTCTCTCTAAGGGCAACAATGCTAGTACCAAGAATACATTGAGTTTAGCAAAAAGACCAATGGTAGTAGACTAGCAGTTTGAACCTTGCCTCACTCACTCATGCCAATCCCTATCTATTTCTGATTGAGAGTACTCCTATATTTTTAAATATAAAGTATTTTTTAAAGATTTTTTTAAAGGTTAAATGTTAAAAATATAAGATATAATTATTATTTTTAAAAAAATATTTTAAATAAATAAATAAATTATTTTATATTTATTTAAAATTTTTTATTAAATACAGGTAAATATAAAAATAGTTTTAATTTAAAATAAATAAATTTTATTAGAAATAAAATTTAATTAAAAATACTTTATATTTTTTTAACGGAGAGAGTATTTGTCTTAGTTTTATTTATAAGATATTTTAATAATTTTATTGTTTGAAAGATTATTAAATACTAGAATATTTTATTTTTAAAGAATATATATTTAATAAGAGTAAAATTAAAACTTGTTGAATATTTAGACAAACTAGTGAGGTTTAAAGTTTTTATTGATTCTAATAAAATATATTAAAAATAACTAATAAATAAAATTAGTGAGAATATATTTCTAATCAATTCAAATTTGGTAAGAATAGGTAGCATGAACAAGGGATGTATAAAGATCAAAATATCACACAGTTATGTATATTTTTCTTTTAATGAAAAATGTTGAGACTAGAGCTAGGAATAAATGCCAAACCTAGAGAGTCATTCATTTAAATCCATTTTCATAGGAACTCGGCCTTGAAAAATTGATTTTTTTTTTTAATTAGACTTCAAAGCTTAATCCTAATAAGCCTAAAAATGAGTTCAAACTTGGTTGGCCCTTCAAGCCCATTTTTCCTTGTAAAAAAAAAAACAGTCATTTTTTTTCTATTTTGAATGAGTAGACCTACATCAAAGTTGGATAATATGCATTAGTTCTTCTTATTTCAATTTCATATTTTTAACATGTTTCATCCTTTTTTTTTTAGAGTTTATTGAACTTAAGAACAACCTAAATTTATTGTTTTACAATTTATTTTTTATCACTTTCAATAAGAGAATACTTGTAAGTAATAAAAAAAGTGAACTTATCTCTAAAAATTTTAATATTTTATTTTTAGATGATAAAAATCTTAATTTATTTGATTTATAGAAATTGGATAATTTTAAGGAAAAAAAAAATCAGGCTTTATGCCTGAGCCTATAAGGGCCATTGCCCTCCTTTATGGGCCATGATTGCCCGTTTTCCAATTTTAGTTGAGACTAGAAAATTTTGATTTAGTCATCTCTTTTGTCTGTCAAATTTTTTTTTTTTTTCAAACTACCTATAACATAATATGTGTAATTAACAAAGGTAATTTTCACTGTAAATAATTAAAAGAAATATTTTAAAAATCAATACACATATTTTATAAATAACTAAATGAATTTTCTTAATCTATATGAATTAGTTATCTACCTCCTATATTTAGATGGAAAAGAGTATATAGATTCATAAAAATTAGTACTTTTAAAAATTAATATTTTTAGAAGCTTATGATAAGTGCTTTTAATTATGCATGGTTTTTGATTCAGCTGCTCGTTCAGTATACTAAATTTATTAGTAGTGTTTGACAGATTTGAAGGAGCAGACGAAGAACGAATAGATTTCATAATCAAATCTATATAACTCAATCAATCTTATGTCAATTTTTAGGAATAGAAATAGAGTATCCTGAATCCATTGATTTGGACATTCTGTTAAATGGTGTAGATGGAGGGATTAAGTAATGGGAGAGAACCAAAGAAGCTGGAAGGTGATGAATGTCAAAGTCATGTATACTTAAGGACATTCCTATCCACTCATATAATAGATCCTTGAAGCCATTTAAATTTAAATAATTTCAATTTGTTGGTAATAAGTCAGATTAGATTATTGTAGGATCAAAATGCAGTGTGATTTTTTTTTTTAGAAAAACATAACTTAAAGTTCCTGTACTTTATTTACATTTTACTATTAATTTTTATATTTTTTTTATATTTTAGATTCTTATTTTTTTTTTTTTGTATTATAGATTCCTCTAAGATCCTTACACTTTGTTTATAAAGGGATATAAAATACTAAAAAATTAAAATGTAGGAATTTAAAACACAAAAAAAAATATAGAGATTAATAACTAAATATGAATAAAGTATTGTTTAAAGTTATAATTTTTATTTTTTTTAAATCTATAAAGTCTGAATGTATACTTTACATGGGTTTTTAGTATTTCCACGACCCAATTATATTTAGTTAAATAATTCTAATTTAACCTTTGATTTAGGTCCTTTATCATAAATAACGGCAACTGAGGGTCCTCGCTTGTAATTTTCGCTTTAAAATATAAAAAGAGAAGGAATCACATCGTTGGAGGAGGTAGCGCGCCACAGAGAAAAGCCTCTGACCAGTGTGCGCAGAGGCGAAGAGTGTACATATCTGTCTCCTTCTCTCTCTCTCTCACCCAAGCGGCTCTCGCACGGAGCTGCGTGGTCATATCGTCATCCTCTTCTTCCTTTCTTAACTCCTCTCACCAACCTCTGTCTTCCCAAGGACTCTTCGAAGTTCAAATCTTTACACCACCTTCTCTCTCTCTCTCTCCCTCTCCCTCTCTCTCTCTCTCTCAGAACTCGTTTCACTCTCTTATATATATACAAGTCTTCTCGTTTCTTAAGCTAAGGAAGACGTAATTTGTTTACCAATTATGGGAAAAGAGGGTGGATCTTGGGGAGGAAGATCTTTCAACATCAAGAGAGCTGAAGCTGAAACTCCTTCTGGTTGCACGTCTTCTTTCTTTCACTTCTTCGATTTCCACCCTTTTCACTTGTTCCAACACCAGCCTCAAGCTTCTAATGGCAACGACGACACTACCACTATTATCCCCAAAGGTTTATATATATATATATATATATATTATATGAATCTCCATGGCTCTTTGGGTTTCATTTTCTCCTCAAAGTTTATAGTTTCACGGTTCTTCCTTTTGTTTCTGTATTTCAGGCACTGAAGCACCTAGGAACAGCTTGGAATCTGAGGATGGCACAATTGTGGCGGGCTTGATTTCAAAAGAAGAAAATTTAAAAATGGCAGTAAGATAATTAATTACCTTCTCATCATCATCACTTCACAGTTCACAGCACTACTTTTCTGTGTTTAATTAAATTAGTTTATTCTGAAAAGGGAGTAATGATGATGGTCTTTTAAGTTTAATTCTTGACCACTTGCTGCTTGTTGATTTTGAAAATGCAGAAGAATAAATTATCATTCATCAAAACTACAAGCAGTACGGGAGCTAAACTGGGAAATCATGTGAATGATCTCTCCCCAGGAACCAAGACTCCAACTTTGGTCGCCAGATTAATGGGTCTCGATCTTCTTCCAGACGCACAATCTCCACTAGCTTCTTCTTCTTCTCCTTCATCTTCTTCAACCACTACCACCACCAATTCTTCAGCTTCTTGTCTTTCTGCAACTAATTCACGAGCTAATCCACATCTACACAACCACCATCTCAGACCTCGGCAACACAACACGTTAATAACAAAAGCCAGACACAGTATGGATGACTGTATTGCAGCGTCTCGTTTCTTACCTGATGCTCCAAGAATATCATCAGCAAGAAGATCAGATGTTGAACATAGACTGTCTCTTCAGATCAACAAAGAGAATATGGGTTCTGGTGGGGAAGATTTGGAGCTTCTCCCTCGGTTTTCATTTTCAAAACTCAGGATTGAAGAACAGCAGCACAGTAGCAATAAAAGTCCAAGGCACTATGCTAAGCAAATTGTAAAACAGATGAAAGAGAGTGTGATGAGCAGGAAAGTAGGGATTATTGAGGTCACCAACACCGTGAAAAACAGAGAGAAGCAAGAAAGAGGAGGTGAATTTGTGGGCCAATTCAGGAGCAAGAAATCTCCCAGCACGACGCCGACATCTTCAGTGAGTAAAGAAGCAGATGAATTAAACAGCAGCCCGGGAAAGGTTTCAAACAACCCATCTTGTTCCCAGAAGAGGCTCAGATTCATGGACCCCAAGAACAAGCTAAGGACAACGACGCCTACCCGAAAAGATCAAATTACAGTTTCACCACAGCCAATCAAGTTCGATGATATTCAACCACAGGTTTCAAGGGTTTCATCAGCTAAGGCAAAGCCTCAAGCAAAATTGGTAGAACAACAAGCTCATCAGTTTCAAAAGCAGAAAACTTCAGTGCCTAAATGGAAGAAAGCTGCTGATGAAAAGTTCAGTCCTCGGCTCAAGAAACCTCTACATACATCAGATATCATTCGAAACAAGCAAGATGAATCGTTTGTTCGCCCATTATTATCATCCCCTAACAGAGTCAGTGACGTAAAGAGTACTGGTAAAAGCAAAAGGAGACATTCAATGTTGATCAACCTTCTCAACCTCAATACAGTCCAAAATATAAATAGTAACGCTCTTCCTGTCACCAAAATACCTCAGAAACAGGTATATTCAGAAGTCTAAATTACTATTTTCAATTATCTCTTGCGTGTTCAAAACGATATCTTTTATTGCTACTACATTACACCTATATAGTAATTTCCGGTACGGTTCAGTATAATCTCTGGTAAAAAAATGCACTTGTCCGTTTTGACTTTTTTATATATATTTTTCTCGAAAGACACCGGTATGTGATGCCCGAGAACCAAAATATTGCAGTTCACAGTTATCTAGTGGTTCGCGCCAGACTTACACGACACTGACTACTGCTGCTGCTGCTGGAGAAAGCAACGTCGACGAAGACAAACGTAAGACCAGTGGCTTCATGTTTAATGGTCCAGAATTTGAGTACGTCTCAAGCATCCTTAGCCGTACTGGTTTAGTAGTCAAAAAAGGCACCACCACCGCAACATCAGTGTCAGTGTCCTTAAACCATCAATGGTTCTCCCCAACCCACCCTCTGGACCCTTCAATTTTTCACCATCTCGAGCAACACTTCCAGAACTACCCCACTTCCTGTAATATTTTCTCAGTCCTATCCTCATCGCAAGTTCGAAACTTGAGGACGAAGTATGAATTACCTCTGGGTCTGCGTTGTAATCGGAGGTTACTGTTCGATCTGGTTAATGAAACATTGTTGGAGGTTGTAGGGCCATACGATGAAGAAGCTGTGTGGGAGAGGATCGCAGGGAGGTTTCAGAGCTCGAAGTGTGAGGTTCTAGAAGACATAGATGCGTTGATAGAAATGGAAGATGTGGGGAAGACGATGAAGGTGAAAAGTGCGGAAGCAATGGTGGCAGAGATTGAAGGGAACATAATGGACACGTTACTGCATGAGACGGTTAGGATAGCCACGGGCTGTTATTGCTGGTGGTGGTACGGAAAGGACCACGACGACGCCGTTTAGCGCCGGGGGACAGGGGAAAGTGCTAGGGGGACAAGTCACGTGGGTGGTTCACGTGATGGCCACTGGTGGGTGGTGGCGTGTGGGGCCCATTTGAACCCTAATTTTGACCCCTCCGACACAGCTCGCTTTCTGATTGGCTATTTATTAAAAGACAAGATTGGGCAGAGGAATCCAATCCTCCGTCCTTGAGCTTCGTACACAGGCTCTAGCTTAGTGATGTTTATTATAATTAGTTCTTACTATTTTTTCTTACTTTGTTATCTCTGTAGCATTCAATTTATCCATTTATAATCCTGCATGGATGGGTCATAGCTTGTGAAAATTTAAGAAATTTCATTATTTATTTTTCTTTTTTCAGTTGTTGGCTCTGTTTTTTAGTGTTTTTTTTTTCTCAAAAATATGTTCTTTTTTTTTTTGTTGCTTTAGCCCATAGTATCGTTTTCAGTTTATTTTTTTGGCCTGAAGTGGGTTTTTTTTTCATTTCTTAGAAATTTAGTACAGTTAAATTCAGGTCTATTGAGACACCTTTTATTTCATAGGCTAATTAATTATTAATTATTTCAATAATACGTCATGAACGTAAATTGTTTTCCCAAAACACTCATTTAATAATTGGCTAACGATGGTAAAAAATTAATAAATATTCCAGACAAATGATTGACAGGGCGAAAAGAACCTCTAAAAATTCTCTTGTAAAAAAGTCAGGAGGGGAAGTGATAAAAAATAATATTTGTGCTGTAGTTAATAAGTGAATGTGTAACACTTGCCCCGAGTGTTATCCAAAAATCACACAAGTCAAATAAACTAAGTGTGGTTAAGAAGTTAATCCTAAAACCAACTTAGAAAACAAACCATTTAAATTACTAAGCAAATACACGATTGCAAAGTAAACATTTAAAACCTTAAAAAAAATTATAGGTTCTAACTATAGCGCATGAAAGCAAGCTAGACGAAAGAGAAATAAAAAGATACTGTCATGACAGCATTTAAATTGCTGTCATGACAGCCCTCCCGGGTCAACTTCTGGGAGGCACCGTTCCGCCATCCGACCTCCAATCGAAGTGATTTTAAAACTCACACGTCACATTCAAAGAGTATTATAAGTATACCATATTTCAAAAAGATTCAACGGTCGAATTAAAAATTGAACATGTTATAAATTTGGTTACTTTTGCTGTCATGACAGCTACTTCCGGACCAACTTTTGGAGTGCACCATTTCATCATCCGACCTCCGATCGAAGTGATTCTAAAGCCCACATGTCACTTTTAAAGAATACTATTAGCATACCAAATTTTGAAACGATCCAACGGACGGATTGAATTTTGTGCAGGTTAGAATATAACTACTGTAGCTGTCATGACAGCAATTTAATGCTATCATGACAGCACCTCCAGACCAAATTCTGAAGTGCGTCGTTTCTCCGCCCGATATCCGATCGATGTGATTCCAAAGCCCACACGAAGTTTATAAAATTTTTTACTTGTGACCCAAATTTTAGAGAAATCCAACGGTCGGATTAAGATTTGGACACCCGGATGCAAAAGTGCAGCTTTTTGGTAAAAACCATTTTCAAAATTGTCCAAATCTCATCCTAATGGTCACAAACCTGTGGGAATACTTTGGACACGTCAAATAAAATTAAAAACACCTGATAGAACATTCAAATGATGAAAAACCTCTATACATCAAAATTTGACCACCCGGGTGCCATTTCCCAAAATGGACCCTAGACCTCCAAAATGCACAAATCATACAAGAGTGGTCACAAATCAATCCAAATACCATATATTTATATAAATACATATGCTAAACATTTTCACTTGGCTCAGAGCTCCTTGTGGGGCCCACGCACCCACTCTCTCTATCCAAGGTGTATATTTGCCCATAGCACACCATTTGCAATGCAACCACTTTGCATTTGCTTATAAAATCACATATATATCAAAATAAAGATCTGCTTGTAATAAAAACTTGGTCTACTAAGTAAATCCATCAAAACCACACACCATAACCAAGTTTCCTAGCCACAAGTCTGCAAACAGACAAAAATTCATACACAAGCACACAATCCACACATATTCACACATACATACATAATCATATCCTACTGGCACCCTAATTCTAAATATATTACAATATATTTGCTCAAAAGAAAGGGGTTGCAGTTCTTTACAAATCACAAGCAAACCCCTAGCTTTGCTCTTCTCCCTGTCCACCACTGGATCCTTCACCTGGACCTGGAAATATTGAAAAGAAAGGGGTGAGACAACCACAGTCTCAGTAACAGAGAAATCTACATTGATTATTACAAAGTAAGCCATAATCAAATAAATGAATAATAAATTCAACATAGTATATAATTCAGCCATTTAAAATGTATGAATACATGACCTAGGTCGGTATGGCCTTTTATGACCAACAGAATGCCCCCTGGCACTCTTTAACTCACAGGTAAACCTTATACCTACTTGTACCTCCACAGGCACAAAACATAATCTAAGGCATGATCTAATCCACCGAACCGCCTATGCCCCTTCGACGTGAATCCTGAGCAGTCAAAGCTAACTCCCTCCCAGAGCCAGCCCGACTTACTCTCCATGTGAGGGCTACCTTGGTCTAGGCACTCAACCTCACACTTCATATGTCGGATTCCCTCCCCCACTGAGAGGTGTCGAACACTCAATACACTAACCACTTTAGTGCACTGAGCCCACAATATGTAAGACAACACTGAGTACTGACAGTGTGCCATAGAATATCAAAAATCCACACCTTCTCATCGGTGAACTCCCACCGAGATCATGCCTTTTACTCTTGTCTACCTTTCCTGAGTATTGACCATTCAACACTCTAAAGTAGTATAATATTTATAAATCTTATTTCCATAAAAATATTGTTATTAAACAATTAGAAAACATATTTGCACTATAATTAAAGTAGTACCCCATAACCCCTTATAAAGCACATTTAATCTTTTAAAACATGTAATGCATGATAACTAGTAATATTTATTCAAAAATAGCTAAAACAAAGTAATAAGAAATATAAATTTCCCTGTTATCTCAACTCTTTGGTACCAAAAGGGTTCCCCTTGTACAAAATAGGGCTCAGCTTGTTCCTTACTTTTTAATAAGTTCCACCAACAATTTTCTACAACATATAAGTGATCCACATCACTTATCATGACAAATAGCATTAATGAAGACTATAACTCATACCACACAACTTGAGTCAATGAGTCATAATCCACCCTAATAGTTCATGTATTAAACCAAACATTCACATAATATCACTTAACCACCAAAACCATTTATTAGCCATCATTAGGCTAATTTCCAATTTTATATAATTTCTTATCAATTAAAAACTTTCACTTAGTGTCACCAACTTTCACCATTAGCCCTTATAATGAAAACCAAACCTTAATTTAAATTTTATTGGGCTCAAATAGACAATTATAACTAAATCAATAAGCTTAAACCATTGAAGAGCAAAAACCCAATTTCTCAAGGTTTATTTTGTGCCCAAAATACCTCTTTTCATCCAATTATCTACTCAAAACATTAGATCACTATATAGAAACTCAAAACATACTCCCTAGGATCCAAAGAAACAAAAGCTTACAAGAATAAAGCCTTTGGGATCAAAATTCAAAAATTTTCTCTTCCAAAAATTGAAGAAAATCAAGAGAAAGAGAAGAGGATTGAAGTAGGGAGTTTACCTATCGTGTAGCCGAGCTCGCAACGGTCGCAAAGACTCTTAAATCCAAGCCTAACTCCCTCCCTTTCTCTTCTCTTCTTCCTCTCTCTCTCTCTCTCCCGTTTGTGCGTTTCTATCCTTGCTCATTTTCTCTGCGGTTTTAGTTTGTTTTGCTCTTTAAATTGCTGGTCAAAAAGTTTGGGAACAATTACAAGAAAGGACCCAACATTTTTTATTATTGCACAAAAGCCCGGGTAACTTTGGTAATTTTTCCCATAGTTAAAAATCAAATAAAACTAAACTTTTGCTTAGTAAAATTCAAACTCTGAGCCTCTATTAAATTATTCTAAATTTTAATTTAATTATAGATATTTTATTTTATTTTTAAAATAAATTTAGGTCTTAAAATTTTTTTTTAGGATGTTACAGAATGCATGTAACGAATGTAACAATTTAACTTCCAAAATATCATTTTTCTCTCTTAGTGTGGTTCATTAAAATATATACTAAGTTTTTCCTTCAACAAAAATAGCTTTTTAACTAAAGAAAAAGTGTAAACGCTAAACAAATTAATTGGCTAAAATGACATAAAACTAGGAGACCATGGGCTTATTCGTAATTTACTTTGAGAATAGTTTTTTATTTTTTACAATAAAAAATTAAAAATTTTATTTGGTGACATGTTTTTAAAAAAAATGCTTTAAAGAACCAAAAAACTAAATATTGCTCTGAAAAATAAAAAAATAAAAACATCTTTTAAATGTTTTGGGATTATTATTTTAGAGAATAAAGAAGAATACAAAAAAAAATTATTTTTATTATTTTTTGTTTTCAAACGTATTTTATAAAACATCAATTCTCATAATAGTAAAATAAAAATAATTTTAAATAAGTCCTACATTTTCTAATGATTTCCTCCCCTAAAAAAAAAAAAAAATCTTTGTACGAAACACCGTTAATTCTGTTTAGTCAAGCTTTCATATGTAGAGACCGTGTGTGTGTGTGCGCTCTATTCATATGATGTAAACACCTTAACTTTGATGGGCTTCTTAATCATCATGAAACTAAATGTGATTTGATCATTATTAGCTGAATTAATACGGGAGAATGATAATAAGGTCTCAAAACTCTAAATTAATGATAATTGATAAAATTACAAATAAAAATTCATATTACAATCTAAAAAATATATTTAATACTTAAATATTTATTTATAATTTAAACTCTTGAATTTATTATTATTTATATGGATATTTTTATTTTTAAAAAAAATTGTCAGAGACTTAACTTCATTAATTTAATATTTTAAAATCTAAATGTCATTTTTCAAATTAATATTTGAATATAAATTGAGGAACTTGTGATTAAAAAATTCAAATGCTTACATCACTTTTGAATTAGGAGAGTGAGAGAGAATCATATTCTATTTGGTTCTCCATGGAATTTTGAGATTGTCAGGTAGCACAAGAACAAGACTGTATATCATTTTAATTTTTAAAAAGGCTGTCTTGCATGGAACATGATCTCCAATACCAACATTTGCTCTTTTCCTGGAATATAACGAAATAAAAGTACCTTGAAACCCTAAAAACAACCTTTTTTTTCCTTTTCTATTAATTAATAATATGATAAACTCAAGGGAGAATGACATTTGA